AATTTTTTTTTTTTTTTTTTTTTTTTTTTTTTTTTTTTTTTTTTTTTTTTTTTTTTTTTTTTTTTTTTTTTTTTTTTTTTTTTTTTTTTTTTTTTTTTTTTTTTTTTTTTAGCAAGTTTCTTGAAGAGGTCTGATTTCGTCTTTGAATAGACTTACAAAGCATCCTCAATTACAAATTTCAATTATATTTGTTAACCAAAGCACTCATCCTGGACTAAACACAAAGTAATCTGAATACATACCAGGTCATAAATATAAACACAAGAGTCGGCAGATCCAGTGTATATATACTTCTGCGCCGTGCTGCAAGTCAATGCAGAGATTGAAATATGAAGTCAATATTTGAAAGCACAGCGTGTAGGAAGTTGGAAGCAAATCCCTAGATAATCAAAATAAGCTTCTAAAATCATACAACCAGGAACACCAGAAAAGGCAGTTCCATGGCAGTTTTTCAGCAAACAATTCAACATCTAACTAACTTGCCTATTGATATGTATAGACCATTCAACGGCCCAAACCAGCAAATGAAACCAGACAGCCAAAAAATGGTAGTTCTGTATTAGGTTTAGGCAATGAAATTAAATCCTTCACCACCATATCGGTTCATGTCTGTCCAACCCATTGCTACATCTGCCAAAACATTCAATGAGATCAAGTCCTTCTCAACCAAATGAAATCATGTTGATGTTGGTCTATACATCTCTCTTCTAGTGTGGTCTGTTGGGCACGTATCTTCCATAATCATAAGCCAGGTTGACAACATTATTCCTTCAAATCAAGATCTTAGCTTCGAATTTAGAAGGATTTGACAAAAGTGGAGATGCTTAAATGTTAGCCATCAGGTAAGAAAATTGTGAGTAATCAGATATTGCTCCTGCAAATTATATAGGTATATCTATTGACAGGATGTTAACAGTACAGACCATTTCACTACTTTTACCCACTGACCACAGGGTATCCTATATATTGCACAAAAGTAGGTGATAATTGTATTCCAACTTTTCAACTATAAGTAGAGTTAACATTTCAGTAGCAGCACTAAAACTCACTTGATGGAAACACAAGTAAACAACATGTATACAAGATAATTAGATAAGCACATTAACTGTGAGCTAGTAAAAATGATAAGTTACCTGTTTCCTGGGGAGAAATGACAGCGAATGAGAGTGCGCAAGACCGTATGGCCTTTATATGTAGCTACTGATATATCATCTGGATGTCTCATATCTCTTACTTTCCCTGGATATGACATCCATCTGTAATCCCACTCAGCATATCTACGAACTGGAGAGCTACATCAAGGAAAACAACTCAACGTAAGTATTAAGATTAAGCAAACTGAAACTAAAATTGATTTGCCACCCCCATCCATCTCCAAAAATAATGCAAAACTACTAGCGGGTCAGCTATCGGGAAAGGCCAGACATAAAATTCTAGCTGAAAATACAAGACAACATTCATCTAACAGCAGGATCAATTGGGAAAATATTTTCAAGCATTACGCTTGCTGTAACCTTTTGCCATTTCTTTTAAAGAAGAAACATTCAAAAGACACTTACTATTCGACATTGGATGACATTTTCCGGATGTCCCAAAGTTTAATGGCTTGATCTTTTCCATTTGAGATAAAATAACGGCCATCTCCACGAGTGTCGATGAAAGTAATGCCTTCTAGATGTCCAATTAGGACTCCAGCAGGCTTCTCCCTTGTATCAAAGCAACGTCTGTCCCATACCTAAAGGAACCAATACATCAGAGTTATGATTGGCAACAATATGTAAACAGCAATTCTCTCCAGTCTCCACTTGT